GAATGCTTGACAATTTACTCACAGATAAAGAAGAAATTCGAAGCAGCAGAAATGTAGTTCTGCAGAAAGATTCTGAGAATACTATGAACCGAAAATGGAAACAAAAAGGACACATAGATCAAGAAGAGACAGAAAAAGTTTCTAAGGCACATCATGAGTAAAGAAGAATCGGAAATTTTGACAGAATGAAAACAAGAGAGAGAGAGAGAGAGAGAAAGAAACAACACATAACCTGTCTAGCGATCTTAAATGAATAAATCGCGGAACAGGGTTTAGTAGACGTAACATTATCAAAAATTTAGAATTTTAATTTGTTGCCAATATTTCAACAACATTAAAGTGCATATAACATTTAATGTCATTTGAAATTTCTACAAATTTCTAATGAGGCCCCTTATATTGAAACGCTTGTTTTGTCATAACTACAACGGATTAATTTAAAATTCTAAAAAATAAAAAAAAATAAAACAGAGCGCGTCTGCACGCGTTTTTAAAAATCCTTATCACAATAAAATGTAGATGTTATTGCAGTTACAGTAAGTTTGTCTCTGTAAATTACTCCTGAAGATGACCTTATAAAAGATCGAAAGTAGATGGGTTAAAAAAAAACTACGGCGGCTTCCTTGATGAATTTCATCTTAACATCAAGAAACTGATTAGGTAACTGAAAGGGATCAATGTGAAATAAGCAAAGGCGGACACATACTTTTATGTGATTTCGAGGACATTCAGGCCGGTAAATGTAGTTAATAATGTTTGTTATAAAGAGAGCATTTAGTTAAATATTTGTATCTATAAAAATAACGTATAAACAGAAAATATATTAAAATAATTGTAGGACTTAATGATTATTAGTCATAATATACATATATATATATATATATATATATATATATATATATATATATATATATATAAACCCCTTTTATTCCTCTTTTAATTTTAAATTAATATTTCATTCTTCATATAATCCACAAATTAATGTCATAAGGTTAATATTCGGATTAATTTTATAAAACTTCTTCCCTTTCAGACAAATACATTCCACCTTCCCCTGCCCCATGTCTCGAGCCTTTCGTCTGACTGAAACATTGAAATAAATGAATTCTGTCTTAGTTTCACGTCATTTTTTTTTTTAGCATTCACAGTTAAATTTCTATTTCTGACACGAACTCAGTCCACACCAGGCTTGATAAGACAGACGACCAATTTCTTTGTCTGCCGAAATAGGCTATAATCCATATGAGGTGATTTTAGATTTTATTTTTTATTAATCATATATATATATATATATATATATATATATATATATATATATATATATATATATATATATGTATGTATGTATGGGTGTACATGTGTGTTGGGAACAGTAAAAATATATCCATTCTGTGAAATGTTTTTAAGCTTACTATAAAATCTCATGCAAAATAATACTAAAAAAAACTTAATTGTATATTTTCATAGACATTTGACGTAAATATATTAATACGGATAACTAGTGTTATCATTATAGAATTGTTTGTTATTTAAATAATACAATTCCAGAGTCATCATTACTTTGTACTATTTTTACCCTTGTCATTTCAAATTTGAATCGATATATTTAAAAGGATAGTTTCGCAATATGACACTATTCAATCAATTGCCAAAGAATAGTATTCAAAACTAAAGTGATTATAACTAATTGAACAGATACTCCTTTGCTAGTCAAATGTTCTTCACCGGACAATACTGGTATCTAACTAGCACTACAGACACTCGATTACTAACCCTTTATTCTTTCGCTACAAAATAGATAAGGATCAACAGCCCATAAATATCAAAATTTGACAGATCAAAGGTCACCGGTTGAACACAACCCAAAACTGCGACTTTGTTGCTGAAAACTCATTTGATGCTAAATTAGATTTTTTTTTCTTTAACGTTTTTTTTTTTTTTTTTTTTTGTATTAGTTTGATTTTGTGCTAATTATCTTGAGCCGCTGACACATCTCAACACAAATTAGTGTAAATGCACTTGCGCCGGTTTATTCACTCGTGTGTAGTGGGGGGACGTTAATTAGCCAAATGGATCAGACTGCAGAATATGAAAGTTGAATTCCGGTTGCTGACCGTTAATGTCATTTCATCCTGTTCTTCGGGTTAAAAACAAACAATCAAATTTGCCCTCCGCTACTTTGTATTGCTTTTGTCTCGTTCGAACAGAAAAAAAAAAGTAGGGTTTTGGACGAAACTCGCTTAGAGCCAATTGACAAAACGAATCCGCAAAGAACGTAAAAGTTACATTACACTTTATATTCCACTGTTGTGCGTCTACATCTATATACACTTTTTATTTCCAAAAAGAAATATAGAACGAATCGACCTTCTATTGAACAGAAAATGTTTGTTCACAGCTTAGTTTTACAGAATTCATCTGAGTCCAAATAGGTCGAAACGGCCGTCCACTGCTTTCTGAGGATTCTTCTAGACTCAATGAATTATTATGAATGATTTTTCAAATACCCCAAATTTCTATCACTTGTATATCCTTGCTTGATCCAGCTTCTAATGCTCTGGAGGAAGCGGCTTGAGTAAAGGAGACGTGGCTCTTGGGGTACAATCCGTTGGGTTTCGTATACTTCGATGAGTATCACCACGGAATTTAGTGAGTAGCGGCACTATATAGAATCTTCGTCACCGAGGCCCATTGATCCAGTGATATGACGTTTGTATCGTAATAGTCCGGGTTCGATTCTCGTTAGTAGATGCGCACTGCTGATGTGTCTCAAATAGGATGAAACGACCATCCAGTGCATTCTGGTGAGGGTTTTTCTAGACTCGATGAATTACTATAAATGATTATTCAAATCCCTCAAAATTTTTTATCACTTACATGTGTGTTGGGAACAGTAAAAAAATATCCGTTCTGTCAAATGTTTTAAACTTACTATAAAATCTTATACCAAATAATAATAAAAAAGCTTAATCGTATATCTACATAGAAATTGGAAGTAAATATATTAAAATTGTTTGTTGTTTAAATAATACAATTCTCGTTCGGACAGAGGAAAATGTAGTGATTTGGACGAAACTCGCTTAGTTAGAGACTATTTACAAAACGAATCCGGTAACAGCATAAAAGTTACATTACGCTTTATATTCCAATGTGGGTGCGTCTATATGCAGATACACATTTTATTTAAAAAAAGAAATGCGGTATGAGATTCAATCTGGAAACCTCCTCACGCGAATCGACCTTCTGTCGAACAGAAAATATTCGTTCACAGCTTAGTTTTACAGAATTAATTGGAATTGTAATCGTACTGGAGATGTTTTCAACATCAAACAAGTCTTCTCTTTAATTGTTTATTAGGTATTAATATAAAAGATTATCGTTCAAAAGTGCAAAGAAGCTTTTTCAACGTTATTATATAGAGTTTAGGAGAGTAACTAAAATTGTATATATATATATATATGTATGTGTGTGTGTGTGTGTGTGTGTGTGTGTGTGCACTGAAGTTTATTTTTAATTGGATACCCATATTTGAGTAGACGCTCCGTTTATTTATTAAACAGTATATTTGTTTATTTTCGTCTACCGGCATGAATATTCGAGAAATCTTATTAAAGTAAAATATGCCGGTCAGGCATGAACCGAACCTTGGCAGCGGGAATCCTAGTTAAATTCGACATGCCTTAACTGCCTCGGCCACAGAGAACCTTTATAGATCAAGCAAGACTGAATAGTGCATTTAAGCAAAATCCTTCTCAACATAGATTCTCGAGATTTCATAGCGGCTCAGTTTCGTATCCTAAAGTAAACAAAGTAATTTCTAAAGAAGTAATGGATTTTTATACTTTAATTCGACATATCTTTTTACTTTAAACGTTATTTTTAATGGATACTCACATTTGAGTAGACGCTCCGTTTACTTGGCTGGGCATATATAAGAGACCCGGATATAAGAGAAACCCGGATATAAGAGAGATTTTCTCTGGTCCCAAATTAGAGCCTGTGTTAATGTATATAAAATAGACCAAAGCCGGATATAAGAGAAACCCGGATATAAGAGACTTTTTCACCGGTCCCGACAACTCTCTTATATCCGGGTTACACTGTATAAACAATTGTCTTGTAAATGGAATTTTTAAAGCATTCTGAATGTAAAAATAAAGAAAAAAGTGTGCAAGGCAATAAGAAACACTACCTGCCAAAAAAAAAGTGAAGTTTTGTTGAAATCGGTTGAAAAATGTAGGAAATCCGATCCCATATATAAATGAGCACAGACACACACACACAAACATCCTGGGTTTTATAATAAGTATAACTCGATATGAGTTGTCCCCCTTCCATTCACGCGACATTAATCGTGTTTTTAAATTGATTTCGTGCAAAAACAAGTGTGTTTTTCCAATTTTTGGCGCTGTTAGAACCACCGCAAGGTAATTTTACGTAGTCCTGTGAAGTTTTGTCGAAATCGGTTGAAAAATGTAGGAAATCCGATCCAATATATAAACGAACACACACACACACACACAACCTGGGTTTTATAATAAGTATGATTAAACAGTATATTTATTTATTTACAACTATTCAAGGGATCTAGTTAAAAATATGCGTCCTCATTTTCCTATCAAGATTTCTCGAATATTCAGGCAGGTACATGTAAATAAATAGATAAAAACAGTCCATCTACTCAAATATCAGTGTCCATTTCAAATAAACTTTTAAAAATCTGTCGGATTTAAATCCATTTCCTATATATTTCGCGTTCGCGTGCGTGTGTGTGTGTGTGTGCGTGTGTGTGTGTGCGTGTGTGTGTGTGTGTGCGCGCGCGCTTTTGTGTGTGTGTACAAGACGTTTCACAGGAACGTATGTTTCAATTTTTAAGATACCGTGAATCGACTTCGCGGCCATGCTGTAACTTAGCAACTAGTACGTGGAATTAGTTAACACCTCGACACTATTAAGTTGGATTTGGGACTGTTTCTCCGTCTAATCCACAAATTCTGAGCTTACGGCCACATCACGTTGAAACGCCGGTTCCCGTACAATCACCGAAGTTAAGCCTTGTCGAGCCTGTTCAATACCTAGATGAGTGACCGCTTGGAAATGCCAGGTGCAGTAAGCTTGGATGTACGGCTGGTGTAATATATAATAACTCGAAATTGTTAATCGGAAAGCCAAGTTCCAGTTCCCATTGTTTAGTTATATTCACTTACGCGCAAATACTCTTGGGAAAAGTATGAATCAACCACTTCTCTTCCCTGTTTTAGGTTAATTAGTAAAACTTCTATCCCTAAACCATTATTATCTCCAAAAAATTAATTCTGTGACACCATTTAGGGGCACGAAAAGAAAAAAGGAAAAAAAAGAAAGGAAAAAGAGAAAGGAGAGAAAGGAAAAGAGAGGCGAGACTTAAGCTTAGATGATAAAAGAAGCCACCCACGACCGGGGACATTGACAATGTCATTTTGATAAGTAGCAAATGGTGAAAGGTTTCATTACCATTGCAGAAAAATTCTAAATGGATAAGAAAATCGACTATGTTCTGGTGGCGGACTTGTGTTATCGGGGATAGATAACAGCCACTTAATGCTGGCGAACATCTAATTAACAAACCACAGGCCGGCTAGCTAAAAACTCCGAGACAATTCGACAATGTTATTTTGATAATGGAAAAGATGGTGAAAATTTTGACCACCAGTGTCGTAGAACTGTCTGACAAAGAACAGGTGAATACAGAGCTTTGGATAGATAAGAAAAATTAACTGTGTCAGAGGGGGCAAACAATATTGTCGGGAAAGGATTTAATAGGTCGTCTGCTAACCGCACACGAAGCCAACCCTGGGTCACGTCTTGGCCGTTTTGACAAGACATCTATGGGTGTTAGAATTCGGTTGTGATAATAAGACTATGTTATCAGAAATTGGCACCAAGAATGCAAATACGGCTAGAACAATGGAACTGTTTTTTCGAGACGACGGTCGACTGTGTTTCGCTAGACGACTACCCCACTTGATAATTGGCATTGATAGATCCCAGGTGACATTGGGGGATGAGCGCTGCGATTAAGGAAAGAAAAGGAAAAGAAAAAGATAATTTTTTTTTGAGCAAGATATTTTTTTTTCCTAAAACAAAACCAGCCGGATCACACCCACCCGGCTGGACGCTATTGGCCGAATGATAGCGAGGGCCGGGCGGAGGTGATCACGTGACGCAAGGAGGGAAGCCGCCGCCGCGTCATTTAGAGGATAGGTATGAGAAGTTGCTACAAAGAAGTGGGGGGAACCGTTGACGCCCCTCTGAAATATGGTGAGATATCCATATGAGAATAAGAGAAGGTGGGAATAATAGAAGACTTCCAAAAATGGAAAGGAGTGGAAAATTCCTAACCAAAAATAAAAGAAGTGGATATGGATTTAGAATTATCGAGGAACCTCCAACCCCGACAAACCCACCCCGGTTTTGGTCGGCGTCCATATAAGCAAAGTCGCAGCGAGCAAAAATCAGTTCAGTTCAATTCAATCCAGAGTTCAGAAGAGTTCATTCCAGAGTCTCCAGTGCTCAGTTGAAGCAGGCCTCGCATCAGCTGACTAAGATTCGCGCAACTTCCGAACTCATCTTCAATCGAAGAACAATTTATTTTGAAGAGCGACTTAGATCCAAAAATAGGTTTTTCGACTATCGCCTGAAGACACACCAAGAACCAATTTCTTAAAGAACAGACAACTTAAGATGTTAAAACTCACCTAACAAGAACAACGTGTCACAATCCATATAGCGGGTCGGGAGAAGGACGCAGTCCTATGTATCCAGCAACCAGATATAAAGTATTGTTATCCTTTTTTTTGATACCTTGAACTTTTGAGTTATCATTTTATTTTCTTTTATGCATATTTGTGTGATACCACCCTCGTTTGAAGTCAATTTGCATTACGGCCCCAACGACTGATTGATTTCGTCTGCCTAAGATCAATTCACAACGTGGGTAGACGGACTAGAGATCAACGCAGTTACTTTGGTAACCAGACGTTGGAAGCGAGTTGGGAACGACGAGGCTGATATCGGATCTGACCAGATTCCCATCCGAATCACCAAAAGGTTAGAACGTCACATTTGGGTGCTGCGACCGATACCAAGTCAGTTGGTCGTCACAGGACGGGACAACACGACTGATGCAGACAGGCGGACGTCACGTTTGGAGCGGCGACACCCGAACGAAGCAGCGAGGGGCGGAGAAGGCTGTGTTGAGGGACGTCACAATTCTTACAATCTAAAAATATGTTCTGGATTTAAATAACCTGCAAGTGGTGGATAAGCCAGATGCATTCAAGTCTTTCCCAGGAATATTAGGGCGAAGCTGAATGCAACAGATTAAACTGAAATTTGATCTCGGGTCGCAGATTCAAATATCCGTACCGATAACTATTACCCCTATTAAAAGCATATAAATATGTGAACGTTGTTTAATCCAGTTAACTTTGATCTTCAAGAAAAAATAGTTCATTGTCAATCGTTATCGATTGTCTTCTTAATTCTTATTTTTCTAATGTTCTCTTTCCTTGACAGTACTTTTTTCTCATATTCTCTAACATTCCATAACCCCTTGCAACTTAGGGGCTTTATTGCCTTGCTTGGGACGAAATGAACCAAATATACCTGCATGTATTTGATCTATGCTAATGTTTTCAACGAAAAAACAGTTTCCATTTATAACAGGTTATGCGTTATAAAATTCTCCAAGCCCTCTTTCCTCATTATGTGCCCTAAAAATTTCAGTCATCTTTTGCAGGTGTTAAGTATGCGTCCATTTTGTTTCCATTTTCTATACAACTTCGTCGCAGCTCACATTTTCACATCTTTGCCTTCTAAATGCTAATCAAAATATTAAGGTGCGAAACAAATTGGTTAGAAACAAAGTAAAATATACTGAACTCTTATGTAATACCAATCCTCCTATATGGCAGTCATTGTTGAACAATCTATGCAAAGTTGAAAAGAAGACTTGAAGGAACAGAAATTGGGTTTATATAGAACGATACTGAGAATACCATTGACGAAATATGGGAGCAATGACGAAGTTTTAGAGAAAATGGAAACAGAAAGGACTCATACAGTTATGAGACACTTGACAATTCTTGGACATATTATGAGGAAAGAGAGTTGGAAAATTTTATGCTCACAGGACAGATTAAAGGCAAGAGTGACAGAAGAAGACGTAAAGCATCTTTACCAAGGCATCCTTAAATGAAACGATCGTTATCCATCACAAATGACGGTTACATTTATGTGAACGGCGTGTGTATGTATGGTTGTGAGGATGAAATCAAACAAGTAAAATATTTTAAATATATGGGAAGTGTCTTAAGAGAGAACGGAAAGTGTGACATTAAAATCTTGCAAAGACACCTTCCAAAAAGAATTTGATGTTTAGTCCTTTTCGGAAGATGGTTGAATCTAAGATATTTCATCCGTCTGTCTAATTTTTCTGTGTGAAAATTTGTGAATGTAATATATATATATATATATATATATATATATATATATATATATATATATATATATAGTTTTCTGGTATGCTATATTTATGAGAGAAAGTGTTTGATATTAGGATAGATCGTATGTAAATATACAAGTGGAAATTGAAGTCAAAACCCTGCGGAGACAGTCTGTTTAATGCTTAAACGCAATCGTTGGCCATCAATGACACCTCTGGGTTTTGACCTCAATGTCCCTTTATATATATATATATATATATATATATATATATATATATATATATATATATATGTGTGTGTGTGTATGTGGAGAGAGATACGTTATATGTGAGCGATTACGTACACATATAGACAAAATAGTGCTCAATGTAGTTAAACAGAGCTATAAATTATATATTAATAATTACACGTATATCAGTGTTTACAGTTTCAGGGCTTTCGCAGTCATTAGGTTCAAAATGTTATGAATTATTTAATACGGTTCATTTTTTTTTAAATTTCTCATGGGAGAAACGCTACCTTGTATGTGGATTCAAAGTTCAAGATTATTATAAATATAATATAGCATTGGCATATAAATTCAAAATATAGTGTGTAGGTAGGTAGGTATCGAAAAATAAACTAAAGTATTAAAAGTAAGTTTAATAGGGAAATTGATCCGATTATATATATATTGAGTCAACAGATAAAATTATTGCAATACGAACTTAAAAAGTTGGTAGCTATCAAATGAAAAACGTAGGTAGGCAAAAAAAAAAAAAACAACAAAAAAAACAAAAAAGAATACAGAGCAAAGAAAAGTAAAAAATATAAAAAATAATAAAACAAGTTTTAAAAAAGGTAGGGAGCGCATATATGTGGAGTTTTTGAGCACGTATTTGTTAATGTGCTTTGGCCTTTAAGTGTGTTTATATGCTTCTGTGTATATATGTGTATGCATGTTTGTGGACATCTATGTGTGCACAAGTGTGCGTATGTTTGTGTGTGTGTATAGTCGATGCGATCTTTCACAGCGGTCCCTATCCAAATTAATCAAATGGAAATCAACCAGTTCTGCTTTCAATAGAACGGCGTTCCGTTCACCCACAAGACGGTGCTGACCCCTCTTAACGACCGCTTGACATATAAAAAAACCGTAGACAATTTATTTACTGCTTCTGTTTTTTATTATATTTTGTTTCTCGTTTTTTATTGGTAGTGCAAATGCGTTTAAAACAGTGTTTGTCTGTCAGACGTCTCATGAAATTCGTTATTTTTCTCTCGCTTTCTTATTCTGACTGTCTCTGTCTCTCTATGTCTCTCTCTCTCTCTCTCTCTCTCTCAAAAAAAAAAATTGTAAAACATCGCTTATACATTTTCGTTTATTAGACATTAAATTTTATCACTTTGTGTCGGTCAGGGGCACGAAGTAATAAAAGCTTGCCTTACGTTTCAGCTCATCTGATGAATATTTACGAGCGTTCCTACACTCAAAAACTTTGTAAACAACATTTTTGCTCTTGTATATAAATACTTGTTACAAAATAAAACCCTTGAATCTACCTTGATAACGTCCCAAAGAAGGCGAAACGCGTCGACTAAGGTAAGTTTTTCCTTTGTCTTTATTTATATAGTCCTTTTACAGATAT